GGTGCTTTATACCATAGGGAATTAAAAAGAAAAGCATTTTAAGGGATAATATTTTCCTATAGATTAGCTGTTCTTTTGAGCTTCAATATTGAAAAACAAAACCACATTAACATTTGTGAATCTCTAAAGTCTGTAGTGAGAATTCTCTTGCTTAAAACAACAAAATCATTATTTGGGAACAGTACTACATATTTTCTTACTCAGTTTTCTTTGAAATAGACAATTTAAACAAATGACTGTAAAGGTTTTGTTTTGAAAATTAAAGATATTTGGAATGAAGAGTACTTACTCCTCAATTAGAAATCGTAGTTTATTTTAATTAAATGACACTTGGCAAAAAAGAGGAGGGATTTTTGGCACCACTGGGAGATGTCTTTGGCATTTGTAGAAGAATGCTTTTTATCAAAGAGTTTGAGATGACGTCAGAACCTCCCTGAGGTCTTTAGTTCTAGTGCCACTGAAGAGTAAGTTGTGATGTCATAGAGGTTAAAAATGCAGTGAATGCATAGCAACTAGAAGACAATGGTCAGATTGCATATAAGCCAGATGCAAGTATATCTATAAGAAATTCTACATAGATAGGTTAAAAATAAAAGGATGGAAAAAGATACACCATTCACTAACCCAAGATGGCCATATTCATATCAGAAAAGTAGACTTTAAAACAAGGAATATTGACAGGAATGAAGGGAGAGATTACATAGCAGTAAAAGGTCAATAAAGAAGCCACAACAATCCCAAATGTAAGCATACCTAACAACAGAACTTCAAAGCACCTAAAGCAGGAACTCATACAGATGAAATAGGAAATATACAAATCCACTATAATAGTTGGAGACTTCAACTCTCCTTTCACACTATCTATGGAACAAGTAAATGGAAAGTCTGTAAGAATATAGAAGACCTGGACACCACTATTATTAAATTTGATCTAGTGGATATTTGATATTTATAGAACAGCCACTCAATAACAGCAGAATACATGTTCTTTTAAAGTGTACATGAGACATTCACCAGGATAAGCCATATTTTGGGCCATAAAATAAGCCTTAATAAACTAAAAGATTTGATAAAGTATATGTTCTGACCACAAAGAAATTAAATTAGAAATTAGTAACAGAAAGATATTTGGAACATCTCTAAATATTTGGAAACTATACACTTTAATAAATCATGGGTCAAAAAAAATCGCAAGGTTAAGTTATTCCCCTCTGAATTCAATATTAATAAAATTTTCAAATAAATGAAAATGAAAACACAACATATCAAAATTTACAGGAAGCAGCTGAAGCAGTACTTAGAGATGAACTTATAGCATTAAATACTTCTATTAGAAACAAGACGGATCTCAAATCATTTAAATTTCTACCTGAAGAAGCTAGAAGAACAAACTAAACTCAAAGCAAACAGAAGAAAGAAAATAATGAAATAGAAATCAGAAGAACAGTGGGAAAAAACCTCTAATGAAATCAATAGCTGATACTTGAAAAAGGCTAAAATAAAATGGATAGGTTTCTAGTCAGACTGATCGAGTAAAATAGAAGACACAAATTACCAATTCCAGGTATAAAAGGACATTGCTACAGTTAATAAAAGGATGACAGAGTATATGAACAACTTTATGCCCATACATGTAACAACTTAAATGGACAAATTCCTTGAAAGACACAAATTAACAAACTTTATTGAAGAAGAAAGAGGTAATCAGAATAGCCCTATATTAATGAAGAAATTGAATAAATAACACAAAGTCTAAACAAATCCTTTCTGAAAGCAGAAGGGGAAGGAGTATTCTCAACTCACGAGATTAGCACTGTCTCAATATCAACACCATTGTAAGAAAAGACACTATAAACCAGTGTTCCTTATGACTGTAAATGCAGAAATCTTCAACAAAATATTAGCAGTCATTCTCAGCTGATTTTTTCCTACTAATATTTAATTTGTATTTTAAAAACTGATTATTTTGACTACAGCACCAAGTAGTAAAACCTTAACGATCAGAACACAACTAGTGATGATCTTCATTTAGATGAATCAGAAATGATAGTATGTCACTAGTAACTAAAAGAGACTTTAACTGTGATATTTTGAGTCTACTTATGACATATTTCTGCTTGTCATCTGCTGACAAGTAAGAAGGTCTAATGCAAGCCTGTTGCTGTTTTGTTTTGTTTTGTTTTGTTTTTGTTTTGAGACAGGTTCTTGCCCTGTCACCTAGGCTGGAGTACAGTGATGTGATCTCAGCTCACTGCAATCCCCACCTCCCACATTCACGAGATTCTCCCATCTCAGCTTCCCAAGGAGCTGGGATTACAGGCCTGTGCCACCAGGCCTGGCTAATTTTTGTATTTTTAATAGAGACAGGGTTTCACCATGTTGGCCAGACTGGTCTTGAACTCCTGACCTCAAGTGATCCGCCTGCCTCGGCCTCCCAAAGTGCTGGGATCACAGGCCTGAGCCACAGTGCCTGGCAGCCTATTGCCTTAAGAATTACCTGGAATTGACTCTTTTCTACTGTTGTTCTTCCTGGATAGGATCAATCTGGTCCACTTCTTTGGTGGTACACATGGCCCATGCTTTCACTTGATAGTTTTATTCTTATTTATTAGAAGTAGTATTGGCAAAAAGCAAAGTCTGTTTCTCTGGGATTTGGGGATTCTCAGATGTTAGCTGTGAAAGCTGGAAGAAGTGAGATCTCCCCAGAGACCAGTGTTCTACTCCAGGCGTGATGCAGTGGGAAACTTACTCTATTTATTACTCATATGTTGAGGCCACACAAACTCTTTAGAGGTCAGCCTGAGAGTCACCAGGGCCTTGTTTCTTAGAATGAGAGATGAATTAGATGTTCAGATTGGGGATGGTTGATTCCTCTAGAGCTTTCTAGGCTCCTACTTTTTAGGAAGGTGATACGTTTTTCTCTTAATCAGAACTCATAATGAGCAAGTGTTTGTGGGCTGCATATTGTGTTTAGAGGTGGTAGATTCCATAGTGGTCAAACAACAGGGAATCTTTGGAGTCACATACCACCCCCCAGACTCCCACCCCACAGCATCTTGCCCCTGCCACTTAGCAGCAATATGTATTAAGTTGTGAGTTTGGAGGAGCCTGGACTGCCCCAGGACGTAAGAGAAAACCACAGTGTCTGTAATACAGCAAAGGAGGGGGCTGTGTGACCGAGGGCTTGGCAGACCATGCAAAGGATTTTGGATTTCTTTCTGGCTGCAGTGGCGGCCACTGAAGAGTTTAAACGGGAAAGTGATGTCATCAAGTGGGAGTGTCCACAGGACCCTTGTGTTCTTTGCCAGAAGGCAATATATCTGGTAGGGAGGCCTTTGAAGAAATGACTGCCGAGCAAACACTGAGCTTTACCTAACTGTGTCCTTTCAAATCTCTCTCAGATGGGGGCCTATCCACTTCCTGGGCCACTGTGAAAAATCAGCATATCCTTTCTGTCACTAGATGTCTGCAGATTCTTGTGGGGCCATTTATTCCATGCCACTTGCACAAGAGGGGAATGTGGCTCTGTCCTGTATCCCTTTAGGCTAGAATTGAAGCCCAAGGTGGCTGGCCAACAATGTGACATTGCTTTGAATGCTTTTATTCTATCTAAGCATTTTAAATGGTATTTTGCATTCCTCTCCATAATATACATGCTTAATTTAACACAGAACCCATTTTCCTTTCATATTCTCTGTTCCCATTTTACAGATGGAGAATCCAAGGCTTAGAGACGTAAAGTGTTTTGTTCAAGGTCACATAGCTAGTAAGTGGCGATACCAGGTTTGGAATGCAGGCAGTCTGATTACTTAACCTTTGCTCCTGATAATTCCATTCTTCACTGTGGTATCCTAGTGCCTAGAACTGTGCCCAGCAGGTGCTCAGTAAACCTGCATTGTGTGATTCTATTGGAAAAGTCTGGCATTGGGGGTTAGGAATGCAACCCTATGCACACCTGAGCCACCTGGATCCCAATCAAGTGTGGGTGCTGGGAGGCTGAGCAGGATCTGTGCTCCCTGGTGTCCTATATATCGGAGCAGGACTCCCTCCTGTGTGTCTTCAGCACCTTGCAGCACCGTCACTCTGACCAGCTAGTAATTGTGGCATCCTAGTCTGTCTCTCCAGCTGTGTGGTGACCTCTGGAGGATGGGCCCTGTGTTTAGCTCACCTCCTTCTTCATGAGGCCTGGCCTAACTTGTATATTTGAAATGTGACTGCTCAACAGTGGGCTTATGGAAGTCAGCCCATCTTCAGCCGGAGAATTCTAAGACTGGGATCTTTCATCTGCCTTGCCCATGGCCGGGACCATCCTTGAACATGAGTGAGAACTCAGGCCCAGGCAGAGCTAACACTGGCTTCCTGCCCAGAGGCCCTCATGCACCTAGAAGGAGCCAGCTAGTCCATAGAGCTACCATGCTGCCCTCGGGTCTCCCGTGCTGCCTAGGGAACTCTAGGACCTGAGGAGTGCTCAAGGCAGCCAGCACACCCTAGAAACAGGAGATGCAGAAAGCGTCGGGGTGCAGGGCCTGTAAGGCAAGGGAGGCATGAGGTAGAAGGATGGATTCTGTTCCAGCTGCATGGATTTTTCTGGGTATAGTTGGCCATCAAGTGGAAATAGTCTATAAACTGGAAAATAGAGTCTGCAAACAGCTGGAAATAGAGATCTGGAGAGAGGAAGGATGGAAGATGAGGGTGAAAATTCTAGGTGATAGTTGTCAGTGATAGCCAGAGTGGATTTCTACCTGTTTGAGAGGGAATAGGCAAAAGGGCGGGCCCAAAATCTGTCCCATCCACACATTCTTTCGTGCCACCTGTCACACACCAGGTATGTATATGCAACATTCTCCTTATGGTTGGGGATAAGGTCTGTATCCTGGGTGAAATGAATTGGCTTTCATTACCTTTCCAGGGGTAGTTTTGTTATCATTCGTATCCTCTCTGTGTTTTCACTGTCAATTGAGTCAGTTGAATTAATTTATATGTTATATTCTTTATTTCAGAAAAACTATACAACTCCAGTGGACGAGATTTGAGAAGGGCCCTTTTCTCCCTGAAGCAGATATTTCAGGTAAATAGGAAAAAAGATAAGTACTTACCTGTTTTTACATTGCTGTGAAATTAGATACAGGCAAGCTTCTACCTGTACTTATTATGAAAAGGAAGGACAAATTTAGATTACAATATTTATCTTTAGATTACAATATAAATTAGGTCATAATATCAGTTGGTAATTTTTATCACGTCAAATACTTCAAACACAATTAAAAGTAAAGGCAACTTTATCACATATTTTTCCATATTTACTTCTAGTTTTGTTTTTTTTTTTTCATTATTATACTTTAAGTTCTGGGGTACATGTACAGAATGTGCAGGTTTGTTACACAGGTATACATGTGCCATGGTGGTTTGCTGCACCCATCAACCCATCATCTACATTAGGTATTTTTCCTAGTGCTATCCCTCCCCTAGACTCCCATCCACTGACAAGCCCTGGTGTGTGATGTTCCCCTCCCTGTGTCCATGTGTTCTCATTGTTCAGCTCTCACTTACGAGTGAGAACATGTGGTGTTTGGTTTTCTCTTCCTGTGTTTGCTGAGAATGATGGTTTCCAGCTTCATCCATGTCCCTGCAAAGGACATGACATTCTTTTTTATGGCTGCATAGTGTTCCATGGTGTATATGTGCCACATTTTCTTTATCCAGTCTATCATTGATGGGCATTTGGGTTGGTTCCAAGTCTTTGCTATTGTGAATAGTGCTGCAGTAAACATACGTGTGCAAAGCCTATTCAAGGTATAACTGAAGACCTGTGTTCTGCTCCCCCATCCTAACCAACCTCTTTCCACTCTACCCCCACATGCGTGTTTCCTAATGGTAAATGTTAGCCAACAATATGTGATATTCTTTTGTATGAACTGTATACATATGTGATCATGTTGCATATATCCTACTTCTGCTTACTGAGAATGAGATAGATGTAGGCATAGCTGATGTAGCTCTGATTGAGGGTTGCATTGGATGAATAAAACACAAGTTGTTTTGTTCATTCTTCTATTGGCAGATGGTTTGGTTAATGTCCAGTGTTCTGCTGTTATAAACCATGCTATTGTGGCTATGCCCCCTTGTGTACCTGTGCAAATCTGTCTTGGATTCCATAGTATCCTTGCCTCCTAAGCCTTCCCTCCATTCCTCCCCTGAGAAAGTCACCAGCATAATGAAGAGGACTAGGACAGGTGTGTAGACAATATCCAAGATGATCAGCCGTGTGAGGGCAGGGTCAGGAGATGGATTCGCGGAGAAGATGGCCTTTGCATTCAGCTTGCGTCTCAGGAGATGGATTCATGGAGAAGATGGCCTTTGCATTGAGCTTCCGTCTGTCTAGGTTCATTGTTTTCCTTCTGTTAGGATTTTGGATTCTAGTTTACATTCTACTTCTTTTCAATTCCCATTTCATCTACATCCTTAAAAGATTATCTTTGTCAGTGATAGTTGTCAGTGAGAGCCCGAGTGGATTTCTACCTGTTTGAGAGGGAATAGGCAAAAGGACAGGCCCCATATCTGTCCCGTCCACACATTCTTGTCGCATTCTTACTTCACTGTGTTCAGTCATACCACAGAGTCCCTTCTGTGTGTTGACATTTCTGGAGACAAGTCCTCTTTGTTTTCTTCCAACAGCCATGGGTTTGAACCTGGTGCACCCTTGCTTCACCACACTGCATACCTCAGAAATGCCTCGGGGTTTAGAGGTCTGCCTTGGTTCACTCCTGGAAAATTGCAGCATCTGTTCATGGTGCTGTGTGTGTTTGGTCCTCCCTAACTCAGTCCATTCTTAGCTTCCCACCAGAGGGAGTTACTGTCTTCTTGGTTCCATGCTGCCTTCTGGGTTACATCTGAATTTCTCAGCATAACGTGGAAGTCCTTCTTGATCTGGCCTCTGCTGCCCACCTCTCTGTCCTTGGCTACAACCTGAATTCCTCCTGAAGTTGTACTCCAAAAGTAAGGCATGCCCTTTCTGTTCTACACCTTTGCCCTGGACCTACAACTTATTGACTGATTGATTGAGATGGAGTCTTGCTCTGTCACCCAGGCTGGAGTAAAATGGTATGATCTTGGGTTATTGCAACCTCCACTTCCCAGGTTCAAGTGATTCTCCTGCCCCAGCCTCCTGAGTAATTGGGATTACAGGCATCTACCACCACGCTTGGCTAATGTGTATATTTTTAGTAGAGATGGAGTTTCACCATATTGGCCAGGCTGGTCTCAAACTCCTGACCTCAGGTGATTCACCCACCTAGGCTTCCCAAAGTGTTGCGATTATAGGTGTGATCTACCACGCCTGGCCTGGACCTACAATTTCTATCCCAGAATGTTTTGCTACCCCACACCCAATCTATATGTTTCTCAGTTTTCCTTCTGGTATCTTCCTGCTAGGGATGCCCTCTCAGGGATGCCCTCTTAGAATGATCACTCACCCTAGTTAGGGTTCCACCAAATACCATTAAAAGTATCCTGTGCTTACCTGTTGTACAGGTTGAGATCCCTAATTTGAAAATCTATTAGAAATGCTCCAAAATTTGAAAAATTTTGAGTCCTGACATGATGCCACAAGCAGAAGATTCCACACTTGATCTCATGTGATGGTCACAGTCAAAGTGCAGGCTCACAACACATGATTTATTCAGCATTCCCAAGGGAAAAAGACCTTCCCGCCAGCTTTCAGCTGTGATATATATTTTCCACCCATGCCCAGATTCCTCCATGCAAGCATGCCCACAAAGGGCAATAAAATGGCATGTGTGAAGGCTGGACACACCAATGGGAGGTTCCCCACAATGCCCACATGGTCCAAGACATATATGCATTACTCATTGTGTGTGTTTGCTTATTCTGTGCTCTGTGGTATAAAGGTATTGTTGAAAATGTCCAAAAGGCATGCAGATACCTCCTTAGGTAACAGTGATAAAAACGAGAAGTCATATCTGTTTATCTATAGCACCGAGTGAAGCTGTTGGAGAAACTGGGCAGTGGTGTAAGTGTGAACTGTCTTACAGAAGGGTATGGTGTTAGAATGATCACCATAGATGACCTGAAGAAACAGAAGGATAAACTGTTGAAGTTCTGTGCAGAAAGCAATGAGCAGAAGTTACTGAAAAATAGGAGAACATTGCATGAAGCTAAAAGTGAAGATCTCAATTGTGTATAGAGTGGATCCATCATTGATGCAGTGAACACATGCCACTTAATGGTATGCTGATCACATAACAAGCAAAGATCTATCATAAACTGAAAATGGAAGGGAGCTGCATATTTTCAACAGGCTGATTGAAGAAATTTAAGAAAAGACACAACATTAAATTTTTAAAGATTCGTGGTGATAAAGCTCTGCTGACCACAAAGCAGTGGAGAAATTCATTGACAAGTTTGCCAGGGTCACTGCTGATGAAAATTTGATGCCAGAACATGTCTATAATGTGAATGAAAAAACATTACTGTTTGTGGTTACAGCCCCTGAAAGACACTGCCTAGAGCTGAGGAGATAGCTCCTGTGGGAATTACGGGTGCCAAGGACAGAATAACCGTGCTGGGCTGTGCTAATGTCGCAGGCACACATAAATGAAATTTTGCTGTGCTAAGCAAATACATCCTCACTGTTTCAAAGGAATGCATTTCTTACCATTTCATTATTATGCTAACAAAAAGCCATGGATCACCATATCATCTTTTCTGATTAGTTTCATAAACATTTTGTACTGGGGGCTTGTGCTCACTTCAGGGAAGCTGGACTAGATGATGATGGCAAAACTTTGTTTTCCTTGACTGTTCTGTTCATCTTCCAGCTGAAATTCTCAAAAAAAATAATGATTGTGCCATGTACTTTCCCTCAAATGTAATTTCATTAATTTAGGATATTCTTAGGTCAATGAGGAATCAATTCTTAGATCCATTAATAAAGGATATTCTTAGATCAATGAGGAATAAATGTTAAAAACACTTTTTTTGAACAGCATGCTAGCAGCAGTGAAGTTTTCAAAAGCAGTTTAGCATGAAGGATGTTTAGCATGAAGGATATACTGCTGCCAACACTGGAAACATAGTGACTAAAGACACAGCTGTGCATGCCTGGCACAATCTCTAACCTGTGACGGTGTTTAGTGATGATGGTGAACAAGTGGTGGCTTTGAAGGATTCTGTATGTCAAGTGAGAAGAAAATGATGTCTGACCTCCTTATAAATACAGAAATTGTTTGCATGTTTATCTTCAGAGTCCATCAGTGAGCTGGAAGAAGTGGATATTGAAGTTTTTAACATTGATGAAGAGGCCCCAGTTGTTCATTCGTGAACCAATGGTGAATTGAAATAGCTAAAATGTTTCTGAATCAAGGTGATCTTGTGTAAATGATGATGAAGATAACACTGTAGAATAAGTGCCTAGAGATGACATGGCAAAAATATGCGATGGGCTTACTGAAGTGTAGATCAGTGTGCATTCAAAACAGAACATGTTTTGAAGAAATCATGTTAGTTTATAAAAGCAAAGATTTCTAAGACAAAAACTCTTGTTAATGAGGCAGATGATTGTGGAGAAAACATTTTTAAAAGACTATCCAGAAGAATGCCTCCTCATCCCTAGAGGACCCACTTCTTGTCCCTCAACTACTTTTGATGTTTATTCTCACCCCCCAAAATAAAATATAGTGTATAGTAGCCTTTTAATCAAAACACAACATTGTAGGGGGAGACTGTAGCAGATGAGACAGGCATTCTGGTGATGCCACTGTACTACTTAGTTATCCGGAACATGTTATGTTTTTTCGTTGTATAAGTGGCATGTCATCTTTTTCTCTCTTAAGTGTGAATAAGTGTAAGAAAATGATTGCATATTGGTAGCATATAAATTCAGAGTCAGGAATGGTGGTGATGCCAAACTAGCACAAATCACCCATGTGGGTGGCTAAGATAGTGACACCTTTGCTTTCTCATGATTCAGTATTCACACAAACTTTGTTTCAAGCACAAAATTATTTAAACTATTGTACAAAATTACCTTCATGCTATATGTAAACCTGT